AGGGCTGTTATCAGTGCATTTCATGGCAATCAGGACCGTCGACTTAACTTGTTCTCGATCAAACTTGCCCTTCAACCTTGAATCTGCAATTTGATTAAATAAACCCTTTTGGACATAAGGGGTGACCCATTGAACAATGTCTCGTTTCACTCCGCCGGGGAGTTTCTCTATCGGCTTTTTCCCGCTAATTATTTCTAAGAGCAAAATCCCAAAGCTGTAAACATCACAGCTCTCAGAAACTTTACCCCACATGGCATATTCAGGAGCTAGATATCCAAGAGTTCCCTTTACCCTAGTAGTCAGATGACTTACACCATCCGGGATCAGCTTTGCAAATCCAAAATCAGCGACTTTTGCTTCAAATTCAGTGTCTAGAAGCACGTTGCTGGCCTTTATGTCTCTGTGAATTATATGAGGATTGGCCTCATGATGCAGGTACCTTAACAATCAAACACACAAAAGAAGATCCAAAAATGCGCTAGATAATACTAAAACTTAATCTATGAATTAAGAGTAATACTTGGATTTTATTGAGTTTAGAAATCATAATGTACGCATATGTTCACTGTTTTGTGCTTAGAAGTATCCAAAGTTAAAGGACCAAAATTAGAATCTAATTTAACTTAAGGTTTAGTGACAATTAGATATCTGGTATACATAAAGGATTTCTGATCAATCTAATTTTCTAATGAAGTTAATCATAGCACTTTGAAGAAGCCAATAGTAACATTATCTAGCTAGATCTTACTGGTAATGAATGAGAGGCTAGATATAGATGAAGCATCTTTAGCATATTCCAGTTAAGAACGACCTTTGAATTTCAGAAGTCATCTGAATGACTTTGGCATTGAAGCAACATACAAATTTAGGTGACCTAATCAAGGGTTTACTTTCATATTTTATATAACATTTTTTGTTAGGCAAATTGGCGATTAGTTTATGTATACTTACGATAGACCTTCAGCTGATCCAATGGCGATGCTCATTCGTCTTGGCCAATCAAGAAGGCAATCTGCTGCAAGTTGGCCATGCAAATGGGTGATCAAGCTATGATTAGGCATGTAATCGTACACTATGAGCCTTTCCTCACCGCCGGCATAAAATCCCCGCAGGCCTAACAAGTTTCTATGCCTCACCCTTCCGAGTATTTCAACTTCCACTGCAAACTCCATCTCTGCCTTTGCACTCATCGTCTTTAGTCGTTTCACAGCTATCTGCACATACACATGTTACCTAAGTGTTACAAAAAATTCAACTAGAGAAGAAGGAAACCAAATTCTAATTGTTTGTATAATCAGAAGGAATTGAAATTATTCAAAGGAAAAAGATGGACATGATTGCCTTGCCTCGACGCCTTTACTTGTTCGACCCCAATAAACACTTCCAAACCCTCCTTCTCCAATTTTGTTGTCATGGTGGAAGCTGTTTGTGGCATGAAGAAGCTCCTTGAGGGAATATAGATCCCACGGGTAATCCTTATTCTTGTGCACCCTACTAATTCATCAAACCACCCCAAGAATTAACATGAAAATTGGTAACAATTAAAGATAATTAATCAAAATTGAGTTTAATTATGTGTACCTGGTCTCAGCTGGTTCCTCTTGATCTCGAGAGACGCAGCAACAGCAAAAGCTGTTCCAGGGCATTTTGGTCCTTGGAAAGAAAGAACAAGCCTTCATAACTGAGGTATATATAGGGGGCAGTGGATTAATAATAAAATGGAGTGTGACTGTGAAGGATGGAGAAGAGTACAAAAGGTTGATCAAAGCAAGAAGATGAGAGGGCAAATATTTCGGAAATTTTGAAGCAAAAGGGAAGGAGTCTTATGGTGAAGACAAAAGCCAGCCTTGGAAGTCAAGGAATCATGATGTTCAATGGTGAGAACAAAATGTTATTCTCTATCTCTACTCACAAGCAGCCTTCAACCTCATGTATTCTAGTGCTTGTTAGCTTTTGCCCAAGCTATTGTTTTTCATTGGAAATGTCACATTTTTTATTTTCTCATTAATTAGACTTTCATAGAAAATTATTTTATTATTAATAATACGTGATATAAAATACCAACTAAGGTTTAGTATAATAATTTTTGATGATATGTGTAACCCTTTTTTCTATAGAGTTGAAAGTGACACCACCACCCGCTATGAAGTTGGCTATTTTGTAACCATCAATCGTGACCTTTCAAAGTTATGATGCAGCACAAATTAACTATTGATTTTGCGATTAGGTCGCACACAGTCACCTATATTTATAATAATTAGCTGTAATTAACATATTTAATTGAATAGTGAATACATTATTAACTCTCTAATGCCAATGATCTTTAACCTGATGGCACGTACCCATCTTTTCTTTTAGATCCAAGAGCACAAAATGAAAAGGTACGCTGAAACTAATCCTAGGATTGTCACAAATAAACTTATTTGGGTGTTGGTAGAAAGGGAAGAAATTGAGTCCAAGCTGGTCTAATTGTTATTATTTGTTTTTTAACAGTTGGTTCAATGATTAGGATAAAATAATCCCTTTTCACCTTTGAAACAGAGAATTGCAATTTTATTGCTTGATGGATGGTAACTATATAATATAATCGATTCTTGTTAATCAGTAACATTGTAATGAGGATTAGATTGAGAACTTGCATCTCAGTTGTTATATTATTAAATAAACGGATGGGATCTCACCAACTCTCATTTATTTAACAACAAAATATTACCGTTGCGTCATTAAAAATGAAACAAAAATAGTACTTTGAGCTATACATTTGTCAAGCCTCAACTAATACAAGCGATGATCTAAACTCTTTTACATGAAACACAGTTTTTTCAGTGGCCTGTGTTTAGGAAGACAATTTAGGCTTGAATTCGGATGCAGGAACACTTTGACCAAGCTACGTGCTTAATCTCAGACCAAAATAAAGAAGAAGAAAAAGAAGGTATGTACATACAAACGGAAATGATAAATTAATTAAGCACTTGGCCGCAAAAACTTCCAATGAATCAAAGCCTCTGCTCATTGACGCTGCACAACAAGAAAGAAGAATTTTCCACTTTCATCGAAGGCTCCCCTCCCATTGCTGTATAGTATAAAATATAAAAGAAACATCTTGTAGTGCAATCCAATCCAATCCCACCCATAATTAGCATCTCAAATTGGAAATGTCTGGGTTGTGCCAAGTGACACTACTCAGAGATATACTTGCCACAAATTTGGGCAGGGGACCGAGTACTCATCAAACCTAGACTTTGGGACTCAGCATATGTATATAAATCCTGGGTTGAAATTTTCTTAGGAAAAAGTGTTCTTCTGGGCTGACTTCGCTACAGCACAATGCATTTTCTAGGCTCTAGCTGTAGCCTGTATATAATTAATCTTGTTCTTAGATTTAATTACATGCAGAGAGCTTAGCTTAGCTGCCGTGAAAGAACATTGTTAATGATAATTAGTACTAATTAAGGGAGATTGGGCCTTAGTTGTACCATCTCTCTTTTGTCCGAAGACTCATTGGGCTATTTGTGGCCCGTTTTGTTTTGTGCTTTCTTTACTGGTTTTGGGCCTCTGGGCTCCTCCTATTCCAAACGAGTATGAAATCCATTTGCATTAGGCGATGCTTTTTTTTTGGGGTCAACCGTTAGGGGGTGCTTGCTTTCTACTATACTTGCTACTACAGTAGAAACAGAGAAGATGATGTGAGGTTCACCCATAATATGCGCATGCAGTAGCTAAAACGAAGAAAACACCAAAGGTTCTGCATTAAAAGTCAGAACCACTAGTGTAAGGGATCATTTGGGGCTGCTTCTTTAAAAGCAATACTGCTCATAAGCGATTCTAGTAAACGCACTTTAAATGATTTAAACACAAAATTCTGCATATGATTATCTGATCGTTGGCTTGTTCAAAGCCAGAGGAAAATTCTTCGCAACAACAAGTGCTGATAAAGGAAGCTAGCTATAGCTCCAACAATTGAAAAGCGAACAACACCTAACACAAGACTTAACATTAATCCTTCGATTTTGTTCATAAAATTGGAATTCACCAAAGTTGATGGTGTGGTTGCAGAAATGACTTCATGCTGGTGGAGCAAAGCTAAGTTATGAATACGTGAAATCAATATCACCAACAAAAGCAATTACCCTTTTGAACGTATACGAATACCACAGCTGTAAGCCTGTAACTACATATACATCCATGGAACTCGGGATTGATATTAATTTCCAAGATTTCCAAGATATGTTTAGGCCGTTAGGTGGTAATCCATGTCAACATAAATAGAATTATATCTTGTAGTAATCCATTCAGGCATGCATGTACATAGAAAACCAATAAATTGGAGTTGGTAGGATCATGGTCTACAACTCTAGGTGTAGTATCTATTCAGTCCTGGTGTTCTTTTGGGGTGAAGAATCTCTGCATTAATTTTATTTAAAAATTCATGAGTTATGATTCTTGCCAACAACTCTATCCAACTATGATTTGCTTGCAATATATAAAATCACAAGGAAAATGAAAAATCCTCAAACCCGGCTAGTGATATATCAATTCAATTGTAACGAGAAGCACTCAGCAGCAAACTTAAACAACTGTGAATACATCAATATGCCTTATAGAGCACACCATGAAAATATATATAAGATTATCTAAGCATGCGAGTTTAAGATTAATATGGTCTAAAAGTTATATAATTGGACATTTAATCTGGACACACATGTACTTAAACAACAGGCAACGAAAAGTTTGCATGATCCATATTAAAATTTTATGAACATCACAAATAATATTTGTTGCTTTCTGTTGTTGCACGAACTAATGAGTTCACAGCGTCAAAACGTACGTACAAGAAATGAGTTTTCTTAAAACAAGGCACTACAGGTAATGAAACATCAAACATTTGACAAATCACAATTACAACAAAAATTCTAGGGTTTTGATACATCAAAAAGGACAACTAATTCACGTAGCTAGGGAAGGGAATACCTCCTAACAATTAACGATATGCCTGCCACTCAGATTTGCAAATTTAATTTCCGTTGCAACTCAGACAAATCCACACATTCCAAATCGTCGACCTGTGGATTGAACAAAAACTGTGAATAAACTTTCTTGGATAGCTTCCTACAAAACCTAATATCAAGAATATGAGTAACTAAATTGACAGGAACGACCATATATACCTCGCACTGAATAGTGTGGAAGACCCTTTCGTTTACTCTGGTGGAAGCACACTCAACAACACAAAGGCCTTCAGCAAGCAACAATTTCAGCACTCTTGAAAGAGGCAACCCTTCATCCTCGCTGCAGCTACTGCTTATCACAACCTCCACTCCCCCCAAACAAGTTGGCCCAACCATGATATTGGTCACGGAGTTAACCAAATCATGACCCAAAGTTTCATTTTCTAGACCAAACTCTTGTGCACTAGAATCATATTCATACAACCTTCTAAGCTTTTCTTTCTTAGCATTCAATTCTGGGATCTTCCTCTTCATTTGCGTTATATAATTCACCGCCTCGTTCATGAGCTCGGAGATTGAACGCTTTCCCTAAAATCCCATAATAAAAAACCCTAGAAACATTAATTATCTAAATCAAGACATTCAAATTAAATCCCCAATAGAAAATTAAGAAATTAAGCGTGGCTTAAAAAAGTTATGTACATATATTTAGAGAGGTTGATCTTGATTCTTGACCTTGATCAATTCATGAGGGAGGAGGGATCGAAGAGATGCATTTAGAACTGCCATAAGTTGTCTTCTTTGGCGCTCGTTGTCCCTACGCACGATCTTGCTTTCAACCTTTACATCACTAGGATTTGCTTCATTATTGTCCGGATGAGCAAATAATATCATATGTTGCTGTTGCTGCTTGCCTTTTCCCATTTTCTTATTATTATGGGATGGATCGCTTCCCTCTGGCAAAACCTCATGACCCGGCACCAGATCTTCTATTTGCATCATATCTTCTTGGTGGGGATCATTGGAAGAGATTTGAAATTCCAAATCCTTGCTTTGATCATTAGGATGATAAAAATTAGGAAACATTGAACAGAGACATGTACATGCAAATATTCGAGCTCCAAGATTCTTTAGAGTAAGAGTGAAGGTTGTACTTAAGGGCCTTAATTAGTGTTCTTAAGATTCTCCGAAATCTCTTTCCTTAATTGCTTGCCGAGGAGCTGCAAACGTGGCATTGGACCGCATAATAAAGTCAGGGGTAATACATTATATATTCCATGTGAACCAATAATCTTTTCACCTTTGGACTAAACCAATTACTGCCTGCGCATTTACGTTCACACATTTTGGTGGACCACCATCTGTCGGAAAGTCGGCAGTCGGTGCATCAAATGGGTTCAGACCATGGGCGACCAACCTCAATACATCCGGTAGTCCGAGACCCAAAAGCAAATCAATTATACTGCCCCTTATTTTTCGACTTTTTTTCCACACATATATGTTTATTAATTTAATTTCTTTAACGGAAGAATTACTTCATTCTTGTATTATACAATAATTTCTCGTGTCAGGACAACATAACCAATATGAAGTACCTATACACATATGAATTGATCGAGAGCCTCCAATGCGTGCCAAACAATATTTAACTTCGCAAATGCAACAATTATATATCCAGATAAAGCTAGGGCTAGCTAAACAATATATATTGAAGGGCCACTGCCCTAGCATCCTAATCCTCTTTCTTCCCGGGACTGAACTTATTATAGTGAATTATCGCTTTATCCGAGAGTTGGTGGTAACAAGCACAATACAAGAGGAGCACTTAATACTAGAAAATTGCATACAAGTTATTGGGCCACCATTTTTTATTGAAAACTTTGACCATGTGTTCCTATACGGACGGTGGTCATATTATAATAACCAAAGATTAGGGGGAGCCGCAATGCCAACAGTATCAAGGCAAAGATATGACAGATAGACTTCCTCCGCTATTTTATTGTGGCCACTGGCCAGTCCATACATAATTGAACCAAAACTTGCTTTACAATTACTTCTAAAGCAATATGCAAATACGGTTGTTAGCAGAATGAAACCAATATGCATACAGAACCCAAGATCAGCTTCGCTGTCTGGTTTGTACCGTTCCTCCTTTTTTACAGAATTTTATTTTTATAACTATATACATTTATAATTGTATCAACATCATCAATGACACATTTGGTTGTCATACATATCTCCTTGTATTATAAAGTTTCATGCAAGGTTATTGAAGCAAAATTGATCATCAGTCGCTAATGTAGGTGCCAGTAAGGTACATGTTTTTTGGGTTATAACAGTTCGAACCATTCAACGATCTATATATATTGGCAAAATTGTAATGTTGGTGTTTTAAAAATCCAACAGACCGACGAATCCAAGTTGATATTATCACTAAATTATTCTTTAGTTGTTTGATTTTCCTTCAAAGATAGCATAACTATAGCCTAAAGACTTTATTCGCTTTAGTGAATAAGAGAGAAAGGAAGCGAAAAGTAATGTAGTGAAGATTAAAATTCTTCTCTTTTTTGTGTTTAGGAGATTAAACATTTGCTTTGTAAAGGTAGGAGATTCTAAAGTTGTTAGATTGAAAGTGAAGTTAGTCTCTTTATTTGTTATCACTGTCTGCCAACCCCTGGTTTAAATAGCCATGTTCAGCTTGTGACCTGCTGAGAGCTCAGAATTTTGAGGTCATGTCTGCTTGTCCAAGACAACATGCAAGATTAATACCACAGCAGGAAATCAGTAACGGTAAACATTGACATGAGCAACATTACAACACAGCAACAGCTCCCAATTGATGCAAATCTTCCATGAGAAATTAGACTAGGTAGTAGCTAGAATGAGCTCAATTTTTCAGATATATATATATATATATATATATATGCATGGGTGAAGAAGATTGAGAGATACATTAAACAAAGCAATATGCAGCTGATCAGTTTACTTCGATTCTAGTAAAAGTCGCTCATAGACAAAAACCTACAAACATTTATCTCGCTCTGTGAATGAGCAGAAAAGCAGCTAATAACTAAACATATGTGTTGTTGTTACTTAATTAGAAAATCTAGTCAATGATTCAGTCAGAATCTGCTGCAACCTAGAAAAGTCTCCCCACGCCGGATCGCTAACCTGTGAAGTTGTACATGGAAAAGAAGTAATCAATGCACTGACTATAACCAGATACATAACTCATACATAAAAACCTAAACTGATTAAACAGCTTAATTTAGATGGTTTAGGGGATGATGAGACAAATGTAATTAATTACCTCAGATTGGATTGTGTAGACAAGCCTTTCGTTAACTTGAGTGGTAGCACAGCTGATTACAGTAAGCCCTTGTCCAAGCAGTAGTTTTAGCAATCTTGATAGGACCAAACCTTGCTCCACAGAGCCACCCCTACTTATCACAATCTCAACGCCACCAAAGCAAGGGTGCACTGCAACTCGAGGACTTGTTGAAGAAGTTGATGAGCTAGCACTCAAACTGGGCAACGAAGAGGTCCCGATCTTTAGCTCATCTCTTCGGCTGCCAAGTACTTTGATCCTCGTTTGTAGGTGTTTGATATAATTTACAGCTTCGTTCATATGTTCCACCAACGAACGCTTTCCCTGAAAATATTCCACAAACAAAATATAATCCAAAGCAGATATGTAGATCAAAAATCTAGAAAGAGGAGAGAGAAGGGTTCATTCATATATTATCCAACATAATAAAACCCAACAAAAACTGAGAAAGCAATAATAAAACCATTTTTCCTATAAATCAATTGCAGAGAATACACAAGGCAGATAAGCTAAGTAGGAAGAAATATATAAAGTACAAGATCTTTAATTACCTTGATATATTGGAGAGGGAGTACGGATCTAAGTGATGCATAAAGGGCGGCCATTTCTTGCCTTCGCTTCTTTTCAATTTCTCTGTGCATCATCTTCTTTTTTCCATCATCATTAGACTTGTCTTGATTTTCTGCACTGTCTAAAGTCAATGCTAATGATGATTTTCTCTGCTGGCCTCCGGTATTAATGTTATTGAACATGCCGACATCCATTTGACAAAATCAGATCTTCTGAGATTCTATTTTGTTCGAATAAAGGAATAAATAGATGAAATACGGAGACGACAAACTTATATTTCTTTGCTGCAAACGAAACATTGTATATTAGAATACTGTCAAAACTATCTTCAAGTTTTATTTTCTTTTTCTCAGAATGGCAAAGAAGGCAAAATAGTAGTTAGGGTTTTAGATCTTGCATATGGACCAAATTAAAATCTCAAGATTCCCAAAAGTCTCTTCCCTGGTCTCTCTAGCTGTATTAAAATATTGCACCGTGCTTAACGCTTCCCATATGCCATTAGTTTCTTTTACTTCTTCTTTTTTTCTTTACCTTTGGAAATTATTATTTTGCAATATATGGCATGATTGAAGCCTTTTTTTTCATAGAAAATGGGCAAAAGTTTATGCCCAAAATATAAAACATAGGATAATTGGACACGTAACAAGCTTTTGTACTGCTGCCAATAGTGAATTCTCTTATGTTACCAAGCTGGAGTATATAAACAGAGTTTCAATTGTGAAATCCCTCAAATAAGACATCTTTGTAGATCTCACTTCAAATTTTATTTTAATAATCTGAATCATAAGTTTTTATGTTTTTCCTCAAAGATTATCAACGCACAAAATCACTCAAATCCAAACCGTTTAACCACTCAATTATATTTGTGTTTTCTTGAAACATCTTGGTCGTTATAAGTACATGTCTTAATGATTTCTAATTGGTCTTTTTTTATAATTACAAATATAATCTTGGAATAAAAACTTATAAATGAATGATTCGGATCATTAAATAATTTCATACCTCATTGTACAATTGACAATCATATGGGAGTGCAAGACAGTTAGGTCTGAATGATCTTAAGAGGAAGAAAGTAAAACATGGTAGAACTATTAACTATAATATATACATGTGTTTGTGTAAAAACCCACGAGTCCAACGATCCAAAATATTATATAATCTACCCCATGCAACTTGTATGCCCTTACCAACTACCAATTGATGACCATGTTAATTACATTATTGAGTACCATAATTAAAGTCAAGTTGGGTCTAATTAAATTAATGGATAGATGTACATTCTCTAAAAGCTTAAACCGTTGAGACCATTAATTTCATCGTGCATGTCTTTCACATGGGTTTAAATTGATTTTCAAGTCCTGCTCAATCAAATGGTAGAGGGCACCCTGTAGGATTCACTATGCATAGTACGAATTAACAAAGTAATTAAAAATTGATCACAGTTTGATCTGATACTAATCCTTCATAAGTAAGCCTAAGAAGTAGCTTAATTATTCCATCACATATTGATAAGATAGGTTTCACAACCACTAGTAATATTAAAATAGATTCGCTACTTGATTTTGTCAGGAAAAACAATTAGGAATAGTAGCTTAGCTGTTTCGTCGACCATTACAAAATATTTGTCTCAGAACTGCAACATTATCAACTACTCCTTGTCCAACTCATAAAGCACGCAGGCAATTTCCTAAGAGATCTTCTTGATACTGTTGGTGGTTATATGCTTCCTGTTTTTAGGGTCCTGCTGCACTGCACAGACACCCTTGGGCCTTGCCCTACTACATATAATTAATTTTCTTTTCCAGAAAGAATGTCTTAGTTCAAAGTCCTTCTAATCAATTAAAAGAATCGAGAAACAATCATCACTCATCAATATATACTGATTCCATACAATTATTAAATGGATAATTTATTTAGGTATGCAATCCACCACCTAATGTGAATGCTATTAACATTCGTACATAGGAACAGGGCAAACGAAACGGGCATATTAAAAAAAAACTTTAAAAGTGGCCGGTGAGGTCACTCTCTCTCTCTCTCTCTCCCATACAGTCATCAGTCATCTTGTATCTGAAGAGAGATGTCAAACTTGAAGGAATCTTTGGGATCTTAGGCCCATCAAAGATTGATCATATCTACTTCTTTATATTAATCCTCCATACCCAATTTAGAGAGAAGGCTGAAGCTAGCTGTTCAATAATTCTCAACTTTTGTAATATATGATGTTTCCTTTACACCAAGGCAAGAAGCTGGTCTTCCAGACTTCATCTAATCCTCCCCAAAAGCACACAATTTCAGAAGATCGGATTCTTGGACATGCCATTAGCACAGGGAAAAGCCGCCGGCGGAAATTAGTAGCTGCTTTCAACTATGACATGATTGATCATAATTCGAATGATCACAACAAGAAGAAGAAGATGATGATGCATAGGGAAAACGAAAGACAAAGAAGGCAAGAAATGGGTACCCTACATGCCTCACTCAGATCCCTACTTCCTCTTGAATTTATCAAGGTGAAGCACCCTGCCATCTCCTGTATTAATGATCTTTGTGTGAGTGGACTATATGTACCAAGGTCCTTCAGAACCAATATGATTTTTTTCTTTTTGGAATTTATTCTTTGTAAAAATTGCTTTAATTTTTTACATCCAACATCGTGGTTTCGTACAATTATATGAATACCATTTGAGATTTGACATCAATTCCTCTAGCATCTCTCTCATGGCCAGCTGCAAGAATATGACTAGGGTTAATTATGTATTGGTTGGGAAATTAAGCAGGGAAAGCGTTCGATGTCTGACCACATGAACGAGGCTGTGAACTATATAAAACACCTTCAGAGTAGGATCAAGAGATTAGATGCCAAGAGAGCTGAATTGAAGAAATGTTCCAATATAATTAGCACCACTGGCACTGACCATGGGGCTACTACTGGAATCTCAGATGGGCGTTCGCCAAGCTGTTTGACTGTCCACCCATGTTGTGGTGGAGTGCAAATCGTGATCAGTTCTAGGGGCTTCAGATCTACAAAAGATGGCTTATCCTTATCCTTCTCTATCTCAAGGGTTCTGGAAGTGCTGCTTGAACAAGGGCTTGCTGTTGTTAGCTGTGTTTCCTCCAAAGGAAATGACAGACTTCTTCATACTATCCAGTGCGAGGTTCGTCGTACTCTAAACTCCTAATAATTTATTGATGTGTTTAGGTTTAGGGTTTGTGTATGTATGTTTGGAGTTTCCAACATTGATCGGTTTTCCCGCATATAATCAAAATTTTCTTCTCAGGTAAATGATCTTGAAAGTATTGATCTTTCTGGCCTGGAGCAGAAACTAGCCGAACTAGTGTCTCCATTTTCATCCAGATGTATATCCGAGTAACTTAATTTTAGTATATTCATTCGCGTGGAGTATGCTGCCTCCATCTTATTTCTCGTTATTATAGCTAGTATTGAACTTGGTTTAATGACTCTCAAGAGTGGCTTCTTAGTTACAATTTCCCTTGTGAAATTAGGTTAAGTGTTTGCTGATTTTGTGAAGCCTTCCCAAATGTTTCTGTAAGATAAAGGAAAGGAAGGAATGCCAAATCTCTCAGTTTATCTACAACTTCTCTAATTGAGCTTAATTTCGTGCAGGATATATACTGTTGTGCCTTCCATAGTTTTTGAGAAAGGAGTTGGTCAGTTAAATTGATTCTTCTTCTTCTTTTTTTTCATCCTCCATGGGATCCTTGTGCAGTTGAAGTCATGAATTGAACTGGCATTAATTTTGCGCAGTTTAGGAAGATGATATCGTTTATTTATATAGACTTTTATATGACTTATACGGACCAACATTAATCAAATATATATGGTTCTCGTATGATCATTTATATACTCATTGGTACGCATGAAAAGTACTTGTTGTACAGTTCATGATGTCCATGTGTATTCTGTTATGGTTTCTATTGTATATATTAACACTAAGTTGAGAGCAGAGGAAGTGCTGCCTCTGCTTACCCATGCAATTAGTTTAGTGGTAAATGATGGATGGGCCTTGCCCCTTGAGGCTTCAATCCGAAACAAATAGTAAATGATATGCATTTGTTCCAATATTTCTGCTTCTTCTTTTTCTTTTTTCTATGAGTCTTTTTTTTTTGGAGTTTCACTAAAACACTCAAAATGGGGGCTGAAATTATAAAAAAACCCAACACCCAAAACACTTTATAAACACACCCAAAACCCATCATTACACACACTCAAAACCCATTTATAAACACACCAAAAAAATATATAATTGTTGATTTTGGGTGTGTTTCTATGTTTAAATAGTGCTTTGATTTTTTTATAAATACATGTCTATGATTGGATTTATTTATAAATTTGTATTCTTTTTTATGTCAAGTGGTAAATTTTTGCTTTTTCAATCGGTATAGTTAGTAGCAGTTTACGTCTCACCTTGTTTCTTGAAGGCACATCACATGTGCAGTACAGTATTATCATGCTTTCGTCGTCTCCCTCCTATAATTAATTATAAATTATAATAGGAATATGCCATATGATGAACAGCTTCAGCGACACGTCGGGTGTGCTTTTTAGCTACGCCAAAAGGCGATTTGTGAGATGTTTAAAATAAAATTATAGACTGGGCTCGGAGACTAAAAGGAGCCATTGCAAACCTTGGGCCTAAGCCGTGGCCTTGCATTTACTCGTTACGCTTATTTTATTTTATTTTAAAAATAAAAATAAAAAATTTCTGGGTCGAATTACCAACTATTATAGCGGCTGCGTTATTTTGTAGGATAATAAAAAGAGAGGTGATGGCCACGTACCCACATGAGTTGCGGGAATGGAAAACGCAAACAGACGCAATAGCAGCAGCATCATTATTCCCCCCAGATTTCTAACTACTAATTCGGGCCAAATATAAAAAATCACCGACAAAATCGAGGTTACTGGCAACATTACAAATAAGTTAGATCACTAAAACATTACTTTTCTTCCACAATGACACAAACGAGTCAGCAATGTAAAATGCAAACATCAATTTTTCTCCCAAGGCTTTGAGAAGAATACTAAGAAATTATATTGCAAGGATTTGTCTTCATGTGCGCATGGTAACAACAAAGCTGAATCATACCAGCTTATGTTATTACTAGCACAACTGAGTTTATCACTTTTTTGCTTGTAGCAACCAGATCTCTCAAGTATGGCCATGTTTGTTGATTACCAAGTTCATATTAAGAATTTAGGAATAAAGTGCACCAGTGTCATGCCCTTTTCTGCACAACTGATCGAGCTGCCCAGGAAAAATACCTATTTACTGAATCATCTTATAAACATGGCCAAACTACATAGTGGTGGCATCATCACAGCACAATTTATATGCAAACGTCGTCCATGTTTAAATTTGTATCACCCTTTTCCAAACCTGGTTTATATGAATGTGTTTTTTTCCCTCTCTACCATTACCAAAGTGAAAAAAGAAAGTAAAAGGCATAGTCAACTTCGACGAAGCTACAGACAGGAATGAACAACTACCCTGCCCAAAATTTTCAAATGATGAAAAGAAAGTTGCTTTCTTTTTCCCCTTTTCTTTTTCTTTAAGGCAAGACGGGGTCAACTAAAAGAACTTCATTATGCAAGTTGCTCGGATTCAACTTCTACAAAACTTATTCAAATGAGTAAGCTTGCCTTATCGCTAAGAGAATGGACCACTCCAAAAAAGCAAACGTGGAATTCCTGAAAGTCAGTGCCAGAGGAATATCACAAACTGACGATGTTTTCATCTTTACCTCCAATTATGATTACAAACATACGAAGATGAAAAATCTTTCGGATTTGTAGGCCATACCATACCAGTAAAGAGATGAGCAAATGAAAGAAATTCATTAGTAAGTTAATACAAATGAAAACTATTCCTTTTCCTTCCTTTCAATACCCAAATCATCCATCATAGTAATGATCTGTAGCAGTATACCACCTACTGTTAATGAAAAAACAATATCATACATCACAAACTCACCGGACCTTTGTATGGGACTTAAATGGGAAGCGTGACTTAGCTGAAGTGGTTAATTCAGGCGGTAGTTTGGGTGGTTCCAACTCACCCGTCAGCATCCCCACAACCTCTTTCATTGAGGGCCGGCGAGAAGGCACCTTTTGCAAGCAAACCAATGCCACAGTGATGCAAAGGATCGCTTCTTCTCGATCCAAAGAATGAATGGACTTATCTACAAGATCAACAAGCTTCCCTGCACGGGCAAGATGGCGAGCCCACGACAACAAATTCGCCTTTTGGAACTCGGATAGAGGCGAATTGGTTACCTGCAGTGGCCGCCTTCCGGCTATAACAACCAATAATAAGACCCCAAAACTATAAACATCACACTTCTCAGAAGGATCACCACCATAACCATATTCAGGGGCAACATAACACACTGTCCCTCTCATGCTCGGAGTACTACTAATGCCACCACTTTTGGGAATTTCCCCAGAATCATGACTATTATTTCGTCTCATTCCATCCAACCACCAATCAATACTACTCATACTGCCCCAACTCTTGCTCCTACTCTTCTTCTTCTTCTTACTCTCCACAAACAATTCTTCGTCGTCCGGCCAATAGTGATCCTCATTCTCATCAAAGCTCATTCCTTTTGGTTGCTTCTTTTCCTTCTTTTTCTTCTTCTTCTTTGCAAGTTCATCACAATACTCCTCCTTCCACCATTCCCTCGCAGGCCTTCTCTTCTCCTTGTTCGAATTTTTTGCAATCTTTTCCTCGTCCATTGATATCCACCACTCCAATCTCTTACTATCCTTCTTCTTCTTCTTCTTCTTCTTCTTCTCGCAATTCTCAACCATTTCACTGCTGGACGAAGCTGTGGTTCCAATGGGCCTATCATTCCCAATCTCTTTTCCAATCCACTCCATCACATAGTCCTTGACACCCCCACTGTCCTGTCTCCACCACCAATCTTTATTCACTCTCTGTTTCCCTCCGTCATCCAAACTACCCTTATCAAAATCTCCTTCTGGGGACACCGGAGACGGTGGCGTCACTGACGTCTCCGGCGAAATTGGAAGCTTTGCTAGATTCTCCGGCGACTGATCAACACCGACATTGAACTCCTCGAACCCAGTAGTTGCCACACTCTCAGTTTCCTCAACCACAGACCCATAATCACATCCACCATTAGTCTCCAGCTCCTCCTTCTTCCCCTCTACCCCATTATTGATCTTGCACACATCAATCACTACCTGACTCTCCGATTTCAACCTGGCAAGCCCAAAATCGGCAATCTTGACCGAGAAGTTGCGGTCCAGCAGAACATTACTGGGCTTCACATCACCATGAATAACAGGCGGGTCCAACCCATGCAGATACCTCAACCCTTTGGCTATATCAACCGCAATCGATAACCTTTTTCTCCAGTCCATCAATTCAGGGCACTTCCGATGCAAGAGAGCATCCTGCAAATTCCCGTTACTCATAAACTCGTACACCAGCAGCATACGGCGTCGTTTTGGGTCGGAGGAGAATCCGAGGACGGAAACGACGAGCGGCGAGTCGAGCTTGGAGGCCAAGAAGAGCTCGTTCTGGAACTCGCGCTCGCCCTGGAGCGAGCCAGAGTCCATGACCTTGACAGCGACATCTTGGCGGGTGTGGGGGAGAGTACCGAAGAAGACGGAGCCGAAGCCGCCTTGGCCGAGGCGGCGCTCCGGGGAGAAAGAATCGGTGGCGCGGCGGAGGACGGAGTAGGAGAGGCGGTGGGGAGGCTTGGAGTCGGATTCCGGGGCGGTTCGCTTCCGGGTGATCTTGCGACAGCAAACTACAAGGAAGAGGAGAAGCGAAAAGGCGGCGGCCGAGGAGGCGGCGAAAGGTTGAAGGAGGTGACTGGTGCCGAGGGGTTGGGGTTGGGGAGCTGCGGGGGATGGGGATTGAGGGATTTGGCGCATCTTGAGCACCAAAACGACGTAAAGATTGAAACTTTCTGAATTGCTAACAGTGAATCTTGAGACAATTTAGTGGCAGTTAGGAGGGAGGAGGAAGAAGAAGAAAGTGGGAGTTTTGTGTTAGTCTTTTGAGTTGTTGAGCTGTTCGTCTCTGTATTTGTGCCGTGAATCACTGGATTGGATTGTGATGATGTGTTTCCTTTTTCCTATTTTTGGTGTGTTTTGTTTTGGTGGCGCTTTCCTTGTTTTTTTAGGGTATTGGCCAATTTCGCTTTTTTTTTACTTTATTTATTTATTTATTTATTTATTTATTTATATGTGTGTGTGTATAATTTATTTTCCTTTTACCGTTCTTCTTTTCTTACGCTGTCGTCACTTGTCACTTTTTACTTTTTACCTTGCTGCGTATTTGGCGCCTGCGCACCCTTGAGTTTCTCTTGTATAGTGTTTCTCATTTTATATTTCTGTAAATTTGCGTTTTCCTACTAATTTGTGGCAAAATAATAATTTTAACAGAAACTCGCAATGCCGATGCCATATCTAATTATGATGAGAGAATTATTGATTCCTTCTGGCAAAAATAAAATAATGGATTCGTGTATTCCTTTTAAAAGAAAATATTATACGAAGATTGAAGATATAGATGATGTCAAATTAGAAGATGATGGATTATGTATTTGAATCTAATTCTTTAAATTGACTGAAATGAATCTTATAGTTGACTGAGTATCATAATGTGTAAACCAGATAAATTGTATTGGCAAAATCAACTTTAACATGCACATCATAGAACGTTGATTAATGTTTTTTTTTTCCTATATGCCTCATCATCATTATTCAGGTGTGGTTACTTTCATCTCAAACAATAATGCATCATGCATGGGAAAAGGAAAAGGTTGAGACTTTCTACAAAAAAGAAAAGAAGAAAAAAGAACGCATAATTAGGATTTATTCCGAATCATCACATAAGAGAATTTAAGAAGCAAGTGATGTTATTATGTTGTCATTCATAGGCTTTATCAAATTGGCTAGAGTGGATGTGCTCTCCACTCTGTACCCAAGTTCGATTTTCTCGTAGTCAAAACTATTTTTGTATTAAAAAAAGAGGAGGATTAATAGTTGGGCTCATTTGATAATTGTGTTATGACTCGAACTCATGACCTTGTTTGATGGAGCAATTGCTTCAAATTACTACACTAGTAGGTATTTTGCTATAAACATGCTTTTATCTACACTAGTAGGTCTTTTATAGTAAGCATGTTTTTATCGTGAAAGAAACACCAAAAGAAAATAGATGTTGAAAAGCCCCGGAAAAAGAAAAAATAAATAAATAAATAAAATGGAAGCATGTCATTTTCCTATTTTGGTTTTCTTCTAGGAAACGCCCTACTATTAACATTTTCTTTTCTTTTTTGAAGATGTGTGGCAATTGAATTTTTAATTAATGAACAACAAAAAAATAAAAATCACACCCTAGTGATTGTGTGATTGTGTCACGCACACCTCGGCCCAAACAACCCACTGCCAAAGTCTTTGGTTTCTTTCTTTTGTTGGGTTTGACTTTTCATCTTACAAGCTGCCGTTGTAGCTCATTTCTCATATGATGCTTTCTTACTTACTCAACATTTTTAATTTTACAATCTTTTAAAATCTAAATTGAATACATCCTCCTAAATATCTCTGTTCATTACTTAGTAAATACTATTTAACCCAAATTTCATGAAGGTTAGCAAATGAACCAATATTTTACTTTACTTTTTTAAATTAAGAAAACTAACTTAGATTAAGGGAAGAAATTAAAAAAAGGGAGATTCATTATAATACTCAATATCGGAGCCCAAATTATAAAAAAAAACTCTAGGACTTTAGAAACACACCCAAATCTCATTTACAATATAACAAAAAGGTTTTTAACTTCTTTTAAATTACAAAACTGTAATTGATTTTTTAAAACAAACCCAACCCAAAAACCTCATAAAAGAGCCAAAAACACTCAATGAGGTATCAAAGTAATTTAATAATTAAAATTAAATTCAATAGTGCAAGTTGTCATTTTTTGGGTATATTTATAAAAATTAAATAGTGTAGGGTTTATTTATAGTTTTAGTTCTAAGAATGAATATTTGACTAAATATCTCTAAAAAAAATTATCTTTCACTTTCTTTGTTGATGCCAAATTTAATTGGATTTTTATTTTATTTTTCCTAATGATACGATATTGAGGGGCCAGGAGGAGAGCTCAGCTTGATAAATTTGTATTCTTTTATTCAATTCCTTTATTAATACTTTTCTAGACTTTTTGTTCTCGGGTCAAAAATGGGAAAACCAGGAAAATCAACGTGGATTGCTACTCACCTCACCTCACCTCACCTCACCCAAATCTATCCATTCATTTATATTTTCTGTTTGCACGTGCAAGTTTTTTGGTTTCTTAAGTTAAACATAATCCTTTTATTCCCTTTTATTTTCTTTTGACTTTTATTCACTAAGCTCTTCAATTGGAGAAATAGAGAGAAATGAACAATAAAACGGTTTTTTATTTTATTTTTAAATGAAAGATAAATTGATATGAGGGGGGAATTTGTATTTTCATATTTGAAGAATTTCCATCATATTTAATTTAAAGAGAAAAAAAAAGAATGAATGAAAAATGAAGTGATAGGCTGTCACATCATATGCCGAGAAAAAGTTGGTTAAATTGTATCAAAGTCAAACATAATGTAGACTTTTCTAACTTAATTATGAGATTCCACGTGTGGAATTTTAGAGTTCCAACTTGTATTATTCGGTCTGTCGTAGTGTCCTACAGCAGGTGCAGAGGAAATTCGTTTCACAAAATACAAACAAGCCGGTAACGGTAAATCCAAGAAAATAAATATTAAATAGTAAATGTAAAAGAAAAGTATTATACAACGTGGTGGCCGACAACAACCGACCTGTCCCTGCCTAAAAACAAAAGAGCACACATGATAACCAGCGCGCGCGCACACACACAAAATAATCCACGTGGCTAGCTGGGCATCGTCTTCACCCAGTCAACGATGTTGACTGTTGACGAGATGATCACACGTGCAAAGAATCAATAGTGATCAGAAGAATGGGCTTTAACCTGGTCCTTGTGATGAATTGAATGAGATGGGGTATAGCTCGTTTAGAATTTGATCACATCACATGAGAGGTTTGCTTGCTTGTATACTTCTCTTTGCATATCTTGAGAAAATTACAAGCCCATTAATAAAAGCCGGGCCTCCTCCATAAGCAATGTCGCCCTAGCGCCGACCTTTTAACAATACTGATGGACCTCCTCACCCCACCCCACCCCACCCCACCCCATTAATTTACACTAATAATTGTTTATTAAATGCACTCGTGCCCAACCTCTTACACCTAAATTTGACTAATCCACTATAGAAGATAAATGATGAACAAGCAAAAACAATTGAACTTCTACCCCAATCTGTGTTCTGTATAGCATTTTGATGGGAGGGTCAACAAAGAGAGTGCTCGCTCATCAAACAAACAGAGTACTCGCTCATCAAACAAACATTCTGGATTGTGGATTCTGGTTGTGGAGCAATGTCATGTCCATATCAGAGTTAGAGATTACGTCCTTGTAGGTACCATGTCCCAACAGTCTATACAGACACTAAACTACAGGTGGGGAAAGCAAATTATACATACAACTCAAGTTACCAGAACCATTCAAGCCTCGTGTCTACAGCCTTAACGTTGGTTGATACAAGCGGCATTCTTCCGAATAGGGGGATGAAATCGTTGAGGCACTTGTTCCTCCTCTTGCTGTGCCTTTTCATGCTGCTCACTCCAGATGATCCAATCTCATATGTCTTCCCTGCACAGTTAGTGGCCCCAGCTTCAACATGAAAATATTCCAACAAAAAGCCTTAAAAGATAAAATTTCTTAGATTGAGGACGACCAAGAGCTAAAGAGTACAACGACAAAGTTTAGGAGAACCAACAAAGTTTAGGATAACCAACAACGGATGGCCATCATAGTGTAAAAACACAAATGCGATAGTTGGGTTGGTGCCGTAAAGTAAAGGGATTTGAAATTCAAATATCTGAGCATTTTTGCTGAGCAGAAAATGTTATTTGAACCCAAAAACTAACATCAGTATCATCAGTTTAGATATATTGAGAAAAATGTAAAGAGAAGCAGTTACAACTTACAACTAAACAGCATTTATTAAGGAATTTGTCCAAAAGACGCCTCTGAAATTCATACATAGGATGCACCTTGTTATAATGCACTCAAGAATCAAGATCTTCTAGAAAAAAAAAAAAAAAAAAGTTCTTGTCTAAAACCAATAGGCCTCCTCTCCAATTTTGCAGCTAATTTGATGACAGATTTTATAAAAACTTAGGTATTAATATACATATGGTGATGGTCTTTCAGTCCTGATCTCTGCAAGCAGAAATTGGTATGACATAAATCTTTAACCAAACTCTATGACACATGCTTGTCAGGTCAGACCGACGGATATACAGGTTGTTATTTGGAGGGTTTAATTAGTGAATTAGTGTTAGTTTTGACAGTCTGAGTTGTTAGCCTCACTGTTCTATTTGCTAAGAGGAGGTGGATGTCAATCATGCAAAGCTCTGTAGTACTTAAAAGGCTCCACATCAGCTTTTGTTCATTGTATTGAAATCCATATTCTTATTGACTGAGAAGGACTTCATTTCTCTCTAACTTTCTTCACAGGTGAAGGTGCTTAATTTTTTTACTGATGAATGAGGAAGAAAACAAGGGGAAGGTTGTCGAGCAGAGTACTCAAACTTGTTTTCAACCAAGCACAATGTTGTCAACTAGAGTGCACATCCAACAAGAGCCTCCGTCAATAATTACCAAAGCTATTGATGGATGCAGGGTGTATTGACTATGCAGAAGACACGCTATTGTGAAACTTTATACTAGTTATAGTCATTTGGAAAACTAACACAAACCCTGAGGCTCATCCAACGTAGTTTGCACATACATACATGTTAAGAAAAGAAAATCCAAAATACCTTTCACCCAAATTGGAGGAGCACCGGTGGCATTAGCAACAAGCAATGACATAGCAATATCTTCACAGTTTCTGCACAATCGAGCACAGAAAATCTTAAGTATAATAAGCAGCACACAAACAAATGAAGCCCCCAAACCCAAACGAAAAGATAGGCAACACATGTACATACCTCTCCCTGGTGACATAATCACGGATAGATGAGGGCATATTGCTGGTATACAAATTCAAGTAGTTCCTATGAAAGAATGCAGCTTTGGGAAGAAGCAGACTATATGTGCCCATCCACCAAACGGACCACCACCCCCCATACGTATATTTCTCTACGCCACTCTTCTGTTTAGAATTCAAACACAAAGATTAACCAAAGTTACAATCAATCAGCACAAAGCTCAACCAAAAACTCAGGCACCCAAAAGAGCAAAAATGCTAACCTCCTTATCAAGCCAATGCATGCGAGGAACAAACCCAACCATTGTGTTGGGTGCAGATTGCCAGACCGTGAAAGCAAAATCCAAAGTGGAACAGGGGACTATTACATCATCATCAACAGAGAATATGGCGTCTGATCTAAGGTCCTGAATTGGCTTAAACCGATTGTTCAAATCGTCGTCTTGGCTCATGCTAAACTTAAAGTTGGGTTTTTTCGCTGCTTGTGACTTTGAAAATGCCATCTTTTCGAGATGGGATTTCATAGATTCTGAGGGTGGTTCGCTGTCCGTCCGCACCACATGAATTGCTTCAACGCCACCACACGACGCATAGTGCCCAATTGATTGCTTCAAAGCTGAGCTTCGCTTCCATGTGTTCATAAGCACCGTATATCCACCACCTCTGAAAATTATTTCTCTTTTGGTTAGTTATAAGTTCAGAATTTTCCGAATTTAATTATGAATTTACGAATGCAATTAGATTTGGTTACCTAGAACTGGTGGTGGGGTTAGGGTGGGGAGGGACCCAACCCATCACAGAACTAAGCCTGGAGGTGACCAAAACGACGACGGAGAAGATGACAAGGCACACAACGAGCTTGAGCTTAGCCGCGCAGACCAGGCTTCGGAGCCGCCGAATGAGCTGGGAGCGGCCGGTGTAGACGCCTCTGGAGGCGGCTTTCTCCTTAGCCGGAGAGTAGATTCCGCCGTTGATGTCGGCTGCGGCCACTGCACCGGTCGGCCCGGCGTCGCGGATGCCAATGATCGTGGACATTGGATTGAATTCAACTGAATGTCGTCAAGCTCGGACGGTCGTGATGTTTGGAGTAGAGATGGTCATCGTGCTGCGTGCAGAGGGAAGACCCAAGACAGTTGAGCACTTGTCCACTCCCCCGGCTGGACTTTCCAGTTGGGAGAATGCTACGTGTCAGAATGTCAGAAACGAGTGTGTATTTGGCGACAAACGGTGCGTTTCAGGTGTGAGTTGGGCTCCAACTGGAGTCTGGTTGGAATTCTCTTGCTAGATGGCTCAGCTCTTTTGGACTACAGCCCAAACAAGGAAAAATATGGACTTGGATAAGTATATCAACAATTGAAAATTACAAACATTCAAATACATCGTAGACTTTACATGCATCAACTACAATATAAATAGCACATGCATCAACCGTAAAAAATTGTAAATTCGTAATGTCTAACGATAACACACTTTATCTGCCAATTATATGTCACATGTCACGTCAATTATAAGTTACATTTCGGGTATTTATAATATGCACCTTAAAATTTAGGCTCCCTCCCTGGCTATGTTATTTTGCTATTTTAACCTTCCATCACATTTTCCGTTATATTAGAGAACATTCAAGCATTTCAGTAAACATTTGGTTTAAAAAGAAATCGCTTGTCCAATTGAACAACCACAATTATTCTCCCAATGTAACCCTTCATGATGAAAATAATACAATTATAAATTCCCACATGTTCTTTTGCTTCTATTCTTCAACTAGCCACTTTTCAAGTCGACAACCATGACACTCATATCGTCAAGGCTTCCACGAGCAAATGCGAGGCGGCAGAGCAGCGAAGCTGCTAGGTGGCTTTTAGAAGATACAAGCACAGGGCCGTTTATATGAGAATCAACTACAGTAGCAATAGGACTAATACGGCCGTCATCTCTAAGACACCTGCAAGCCACCCTGCAAGCCATGTCATCCCACATCACATCCCAAATACCGTCGTTCGCCAAGATCAAGCACTCATCTCGCTCTGCTTCTCTTTTTATGATGGAAATCTCAGGTTCCAATGTCACCACTGGTTTCAAAATGTGGCGCTCATCACCTGTTCATTAATTTCCAATCAATTAATCAAATAATTAGCATCAACAAATGGTCGCGATACTGTGAGTATTCAATCCTAGTTATCAAATATTGGAAGATTTACTTACCCGGACTCGGATAATGACACATGTTGAGAATTCCATATACACGTACGCCATTGTGATAGAATAACCTTTCACGCTGCGACCAATTAAATTAAGATGTAAATTTTGTTGATGTGAATTAATTGGAGGCAATTTGTGTTACAAAATGAACCTTGTGATCATGGGACAGTGGGAAAGGACTCCCGGCGCGGCCAAGAACGGCGTGTGTGGAACCAGAGTTGGCAATCACAATATGCTGGGCTGTCAAAATGGCCACGACAGCAGTGGACCCTGCAACGGGCAGCGCGTTGATATTGGGCTTGCACCCGCACGTGTGCCCGATGTTCCCACAAGAGCAGGCGTCCTGGGCCAGGCGGTGCATCCTCTCGAAGCTCCTCTCTAGGGCCGTCCGTACCAGACCAGGCCACTTCGCCTCTTCCTCCTGCGAAGAACCCAAGCTCAAGTTTTCATCACTATTGGCACTCCTTGCCGCGTAGAACACGCGCCTTAGCTCCTCTGCTACGAATTCGTGCATCTGTTGTTTGCAAAGCACGGAGACCTGAAAGTCAGCACATGATTAATACATATTAATCACATCATAAAATGAGATTAATGAAAATTGGGTGATTTTTTAGATTAAAAAAAAAACGTACATGAGGGTGTCCATGACCATCGTAGACAGCGAAGAAATGCATAGGCCCACCACTGCCGGGAACATCATCGAAATCGAGCCGACAAAAGTCCTCCTTGACGAACACCGTATCGTAGTCATCCGTATTTATCTGAATCTGATCTGGACGCCTAGTCAGCGAAATGGTTCCAAACTCCGGCATCGGATTATGATGAAGCCAATAGCGCGGAACCAGTACAGCTGGCCGCAGCACCACCACATGATGGTCATCAGTTGTCTCCACTGCCTCCGTCCCATCCTCCTCCTCCTCAAAATTCAGATTGATATTATTATTTTGCCTCCGTTGTACATAATCAGATAACAGACAAGTCTGCTCATAGTCGTCTGAATTGTTCTGATCATGGCGTACAGGGAGGTAGTAGTGGCCGGAGTAGGACCACCGTGCCCGCCTGATCTCGATTCTCCTGCGACGGCGCTGTCGGCATTGCTCCGGTGTGTCAAACTCCCACTCCTTCCTCAGCACTATCTTGGACGAAACAAGCTCAGCTCGCTGCCTTGTCATATCACTGCTAGCTAGCTACCTACCCAGTAGCTAGTTGCTTGATTATGGTGTGAGAGAGAGGTCTGGACTGGAGAGACTCAGAGAGAAGATATAAAGATAGGGATGAGGGGAATGACGAGAGAAACGTGAAGGTGAAGGTCCTGTAAGGAGGAACTAGGTGACTCGTGGAAGGAGACCAAGGTTGGGAAGCGCCACGAGAATGCTCTGCATGAGCCATGAAGCCACTACGTGGGGCCTTCTTGCTCTTGCTGCAACCGTCGATGTCAGTGACCAGTTATGTCCACGTCATTCTTTTGTGGCACTGGTTGACATAGATAATCTTAAATTTCTTAAATATTTTTTTTTAACTGTGAAAAATAAAAAGAAAAGTGTAAAGAAGAGGCAGCTTTGACTGGGCCAAAGTGCACTGGTGTAGTTGGAAATGTATATGGCCCATATAAAATGGGTGTATTATTGTTTAGCCGAAAGTGTTACAGGAGGATCCATAACAAGAATTCTATGGCGAGGACACTTCTTTAATTGCAGTCCCATCTAAATACAGGCCTAATAGTTCCTCCATAATCTCTGAAACATCTGGAAACTGCTCCAGGTTTTGGCAGCCTTGGAGATTTGAAGAGATTTCAAATGAATACTGCTTGGAAGGCTCTTAAGTTTTCTGCAATTTTCTAAGGTTCGAAGTAACAAGCCCCGTAGGATTATTAATTGAAGAGGCAGTTCTTTAATTGCAGTCCCATCTAAATCAAGCGCCTGTAGCTCCTCCATAATAACTGAAATCTCTGGAAACTTCTCAAGACATGAGCAGCCAGAAAGATTAACTACTTTAAGAGATTGAGCAACTAAGATATTTATTCATTGTGGCTGCAAAATGACTAGAACTCTACTAACTTCAGAAAACATGTGCTCTGCATTTTCAAATTATATGCGAATTGAGCAACTATGAACTTATATTATAATCTAGTTCTGAACCACAACGGTTGAATTTGCATACGAATTCGACATTGCATTACACATGGTTGTTCTGCTCGTGTTCTAGAGTTGATCACTTGCACTAGCAGCAAGCTGGATTATAATGGTAACAAACCACTTGAAGAGCAACAGATGAGTGAACTTCTTGGCCCTTTTACACAAAATTTGTTTATTCAAAAGCACTAAAACATTCAGATTCATTCATGTCAGGAAAAAAACAAATCCAGTGAAAGATTCACAGTGGAGGCAGCCACACGATAACAATTGGGCTTCTCACTCTGTGCGCTCCATCCTTCCACACCAACCCTCCAAACTCAGGAGTTGCTTGCCGAGATTTTGTAGTGAAGGTGATTTTATAAGACAGCTTTTGATTGGCTCTGGTGAACTTCAGGGTCCGTGGCTCCACTTTAACATAAGCACCTTTGAATGGTGAAACTATGGCATGGTAATTCGACACCGGAGGGCCAACATTAGTGACTGTTCTGTGAAGGGTCAAAAGAGAAACATTGGTTCTCTCTGGGAACACAACAGAGATTGCTGGATAGTTCAAGTCCCCTGGGCTGGCCAGAGAGTGCTTGCAGCTTCTGTTTGAGTACTTGGTGAAAACTTTGAGCTGCATTGGGGTTAGCCTTTGTGTACATAGAAATTCAAGATAATCCTGAGCCTCAATGTCATAAACCAAACCTGGGTCAAGAGCTTTCCTTGGGTTTATGTGCCCGGAGCCATGATCATATGGCGTCGAAGCCTCAGCCGCTGAGGCATCTTGCAGAGGCTTATGCGTGTTGTCGTGAACATATGCAGTTGTCATCAAGGCAGATTTTATTGCTGCGGGGCTCCATTCGGGGTGCCTAGCCTTGAGCAAAGCAGCAATGCCGCTCACATGAGGGCATGACATTGAAGTCCCGGACAATATATTGAACTTCACTCTGCGGTGATCTGTTGGCAAGCTTGAAGGACCTAATGCTCCAGTCCAAGCAGCAAGAATGTTGACCCCTGGAGCCACCACATCCGGCTTGAGAATTTCAAGGCTCACAAAGTTGGGTCCTCTGGATGAAAATGCTGCCACAACTGGAGATGGCCTAACCCCAGTTCTCGTCCCAAGAAATGCCAGAGTTGCAGTGGCTCTTGGACTTGTTAAAGCATAATGCTTTATTGCTTTTGCTTCAGTTTCTCCTACAGCTACTGCTGGAACAAGATGACAATCTGCAACAAGTTCCTCTCCATTTGCAGCTGTGTTTGCCAAAATCATGCCTACTCCTCCTGCATCTTTCACCACCTGTCCCTTCTGCACTCTGGGGCTAATCCCTCGGTCACAAATCACAATTTTCCCAGCAACAACACGCCGATCCAAAGTTCCCTCCAAACACAATGAGCTTGGATCAGGGCTTGTTGAATTATTGCCCATGTACACAACAGGGTATTGCTTATTTGTTGACAGCATCATTGTGCCTTTGTAGAGTGAAACCCCAGTCACAGTTCTGCCATTTCCAAGCTTAACAGTAGATGGGAAATCTCTGTCCATGGTGCTAGCACCAACTGTGGTTATCCAAGGGGACACATTGGTGAGGCTAACAGGGTCTGGTCCTCCATTTCCAGCTGAGCACGACACGAAAACCCCCATCTCCATAGCCCCAAAAGCAGCTATGGACAAACTGTCCCTGTAATAAGTTGACACTCCACCACCCAAAGAAATAGACAACACATTGACCCCATCAGCCACAGCAATATCAACTGCTGATAGAATATCAGAGCTGAAGCAACCACCAACCCAACAAACTTTATAAGCTGCAATTCTCGCACCAGGTGCCATTCCTCTGGCTGTCCCATGAGCATAGCCAAGAAGATTAGCACCGCGCACTGGAGAGCCAGCAACAGTAGCTGCAGTGTGTGTTCCATGGCCATCTTGATCTCTAGGTGATTTAAACTCCGTTTGCTCATTGATCTTCCCTGTGGCAGCTTCATAACCTTGGTAGAAGATTCTTGCTCCCACAATTTTTTTGTTGCAGTTGTGTTTGGAGAAGCCTCGGCCAGTTTCACAAGCTCCTTTCCAGTGAGCCGGCACCGGCGACATGCCGGTGTCGTTGAAGCTCTGGCTCTCAGGCCAGACCCCTGTGTCAAGCACACCCACTATGACATCATGGTCAGTGACTCTTTGAGACCATACATTGGTGGTGCTGTCATGTGGTTCAAGCCCAAGGAACAGAGGGCTCCTTGTAGTGTGGAGTTGGTACTTTGTGTCTGGGAAAATAGCCAAGACTCCATCTTGCTCCTGTAGCCGCTCAGCCTCTTCTTCACTCAACCGAGCAGCAACTCCATGAAAAGCATTCTGGTAAGCGTAAATTACCCTTTCTTGATCATGACCTCCATCTTCTTCATTTTCTGGTTTGAAGACAATTGAGTTTACTTTAGACGAGTACCAGTCTAGATGATTGGTGAAAGATTCTGGCTTGGCTGACTTGTCCATTTGGACAATGTAAGTCTTGTGTGCAAATTGGGTTTTGGCAGAGAAGGCAATGCTGAAGAACAGGCAGTTTGTTAGTATCAAAACCAGCCATTTGACTGGTTTTTGATCGGCCATTTTCATCAGGCAAGGAAGAAGAACTGTTCTTCCTTGAAGAATGAAGTAAGGAAGAAACAGTAGAGTGGGGAGTAAGGAGGATTATGAAAATGAAATTTGGAGGCTTGAAATATCAGAGAGAAGGGAGGGGCCTTTACTGTTGTGGCATCTTGTGCAGGCAATAAAGATGGTTGGTTGTTTCATGAATGCACAATGGGCGAGTAGATTTTGAAGAGCTGGCTAGTGGTTGTCAACTTGTCACTTGTCATGGTACAAGGCAAATTCATTTCGATCGTAAACAAAAAAAAAGAGTTAATAATTAAACCAATGTAAATCATATATTTCTTTTATGAACACTAAATTATACCAGAAAACATTATAATTTAGTCTCTGATCTTCATTTTATGAAAAGGGTGTTAGTCTGCAAAAGCTACATTGCCATCTAGTGGTGGTGATCAAAAGGGCTTAGAATATTATGAGGCAGCTTCACTAGGTAAGAGTGAGAAATGAGTTGTACAGAAACTCCTTTAATAGTGGTAGGGCTGTATCCGGTTCTACAACGGTCACAAGATGCTGGTAGACTCATGATCTGAGTTTTCTCTGCAATTGGTATGTGAAAAAAACAAACGGCCAATTCTGGATCAATATTGATGCTGCATATCATCTGCGAATGATTTTTTTTTCAAACAAAGCTAATTAAGCCTGGTAATGTAGGTGATATAAAGTCAAACTATTGCCTACAATCCTACTTGGGAAAATGAAAGAAATTAATGGTTTTGTTTTCAAACAAGGCACGGCTTTATTCTCAACTTTTCCTGTCAAACTCAAATTTCCAAGACATTGCGGAATCTTACCAAATTATGCTGAGCAGAACGAACATCTAATTTGATCAGTCTCAGTATAACTATGATATGATTAGTTTGGTGATAATGTGCATGTTATTGCATACATATCAGAAGTAGAAAAGAGAAAAAAAGAGAGTATATCTATTTGTTGCAGATAAAATTCAATTATTGTTGGTTGGGATAGAAGATGAGGTTGGATGGCGAGCAAGTATGACAGCTCACAAGTCCATATCAAATTAAAAAAGGGACATTCAATTCTCCTTTATGTGAGAACAGTAAATACACACATAGGGGTCAGAAAAATGCCCACCTTTATATTATTTTTTTGTACGTAATTAAATAGAGTGGAGAGGGTATTTTGGAAACCCCATACGGGCAACCTCAGCCACCCCCACCTACTTGGGTGTTTTGGACGGTGATCTTAACTATAGAGGTGGCGGAGGTGGTTTTAGCAGCCATGGCAATGGCATGGTTTATGGTACCAGTAAATGCTACAAAAATTAAGTAGGTTTAGATTTAGGATGTGTAATATGATATCTAGCGTTGGTTTTAGCTGCCTAAACTGATAATTGCTGATAATAATTGACCATTTTGGTCAGCAGTTAATAGCTTCATCTTCCTCCTACCAAACTCGTTACCCTAAACCGTGTAAGACATTAATTTCTTCTTATTATCACCGCCAGTATTGCAGTGGCAGCGGTAAAATTGCAGGTTACAGTGCCGACCTATATTTGGTTTTTACGAGGGGAAAAAAAGGTTAACAGGTTACGTATGTACCCTGCTAAAAATGTAAAATATTTGTACCATATTTACTGCTCTCAACGTCTACATTAAACTCTCTTCTTCCAGCATTCAAGGCTATCAATTTTTTTTGTTTTCGAGGGGAAAAGAAAAATACTGGTATGGAACTTGGAAGTTTAGTCCATAATTTACATGAATGTTATTTACAAAAGTTCATGTTCTTCAAGTTTTAAACAATTTGTCAAGGGTCTAGCCCAGTGGAAAAAGATCTTGACTTGTAGTTCAAAGGTCTCAACTTCGAATCTCCATATCATCATAATTGTGTGTGAATGATAAATTTCTCTCCCCTGTAGTTTAGATTATCGCTTGTAAATTTCCTCAATTTTTTTTTAAACTTTGTTCTTTAATTTTATTATGATGAGGGTAAGAATCAAGCCCTTACCTTTATATGCGGGAACACGAAAAAGTGATATCTATTGGAGCTAGAAGAAGCCAACATAGTTTGATTTGTTAAAAGGCATAACTATTTATTTGCTTATATATATAAAGCAAAAGTTAGAGACCGGTAAAACATTCAAAATACTAAAAAATGTCATTAGTTAATTCAAACATTAATAATTAAAATTATTAATTAAATAAAGATAATATGATAAATTTACACATTTTCATATTTTAAAAAAATTAAAATTAAAAGAAAAATCAGATAATGAATTCACTTTTTATAAAACACAACTACCCATTATCTTTTTTAATTATAAAATAAAGTAAAATATTTTTTAAAAGTCTTTTTCATGCATGAAAACGCGTGAGTATTATATATGTAACATCTTTGCTCTATAAAACACGACAGGAAAAAAGATCCACGAACTTTACCATTTTGGGTTGGGTGGGGGATCATCAATGGCTTTCTGATCATGATGATTAACAGTTACCATTTAAATTCATTGACCAACGGCTACAATTGGATACCGATGGATACTGTCGGCCCATGGGCCCTTCATGGCCTCATCATCATCTATGGGCCTTATACATTTCCAGACCAAGCTAGTACATTTTGGGCCAGTCCCCATTCCAAGCTGCCAAACCTTGTCACCTTTCTTCAGTCTTTGTTTGGCCTCCAAGTATGCAAGTTCATACCACAGTGAAGAAGATGACTGGTTCCCAAACCTGTGCAACGTCATCAAAGCAGCCTCCATCTCCCCATCACCAAGCTTCAACCCTTTCGCCAATTCCTTAACCAACTGCCTCCCCGACGTCGGCAAACAAAAATGCTCTATCGCACTCTTGAAATTCGGCACGTAAATCTCAGCAGACTTGTCAATGAACCTCTTACGGATTCTCGAAACCCCGTGCCTAAATTTCTCCGAAAATGGCAAGATTGAGGAGCCGAGAACGGTCACGTTCCAACGGAGGATCTCCCCAGCCACCTGTAGTAAAGTATTAAATATCCATGCGTTAAAGGAAATATCATGAGCTTTGAAATTTGAAGAAATATTAACAAAATTTCAGACCATGCCTCTAGTATATCTCGCTTGATGGTAACGCCAAGTTTTCCATTTGAGTCCTCTTCACGTATGGTTGAAAGATAAGCTCTGTCATCAAAGGCTTTCTGGGTTCTTAATGTCCGGAAAAGTTGATATTTTGAAGACTTCATATCTTGTTTTTTGTTTGTAAGCAAGATTGCTGCACTGCCCATTCGGAAGAGGCAGTTAAGGATCAACTTGGGCTGCTCATGCCCTGCATACCAACCTGTTGATAAAATTTCTGTGCTAAGAACAATGGCATAGGAGTTGTAGTGAACTTGTAGAAGATTTTGAGCTAAATCAATGGCTAGAGCACTTGCACTACACCCCATGCCAGAGAGATTGTAGCTCTTGATGTCACTTCTCATTGAGTATTTGTTGATGAGAATGGAGCAGATAGAAGGAGAGGGACAGAAACCACTACAGTTCACTATCAGAATGTCAATTTCTTGGGGAGAGAGTTTAGTTTTGGCCAACAGGTCATCCATGATGGGGAAGAGCACCATATGAACTTCTTTGATGGATTCTTGGTGATGGGATTTTGGTGGAATGTGATGCAAGGCTGGTGGGAGATAGGTTTCTTGGCCTTGTCCTGAAGAAGTAAGGACTTTGGCCATGAAAGCTAGACTTTGAGCATCAAAAGATTCAATCTTGGAGGCATTCCCAAGAAAGGTAGAGAAGGGGACTTTGCATGAGCTTGGTGGCTTCAAACAGGAGAAGTCTACCAAATAGACTTGACCAGAATTGGAGAAGCAGTGGTTGAGGATGAAGAAAATGATAAGACAAAAAAGATAAATGAAATGGAAAATGGGTTCCTTGTATTGTAGGACAAGTAAGGCTTCAATTGATGCTACTAGGACGAGGACCAAAAGTCTTTGAAGTTCCAAGAAAGCGGAATGAAGCTGCTTATTTGATAGAAGAGTAGAGGGGATATCGGGTTCAATGGTATTGAGCAGCAGAGGATCATGGGATTGCTTAGAAGGAGGTTCCATGGAAAGAGAGAGAGAGAGAGATTTGGTTGGTAGTGGAGACGAGGTTGATGTTAATAAGGTGAGTCTATAGCTACAGAAGCTTATAAATGGAGGGACAGTGCAAGTAATGAGGGTCTTGGATAGCGAGAGCGAATTGCAGTTGGCAGGTGAGTCTCATTGTATTGCAATAATAACCAGAAAACAGTTTCAATGACCATCCTTTATGGTGGTGGTGGTGGTTTAGTCAAAGTGTTCTTTCACCATGTGTCAGGAAAATGCAAACATAATTAATTTCAAGATTTTGTGAAGAAGAATGGCTACCTCATATCATATATGTCATTATTTGTTAAAACTAAAACAATTGAACGGTCAATGGGGTGAGGGCTTGAGACAGCAAAATGCTGAAACATGACATGAAAGATCGATGCTATCTTTCTTGTATTTTGTATTATAAAGGAAGCTGGCATGGCATTGCTACTTGTGGTACATCACTTTTTGGCATTTATAATCTATACGATGCTATGGTGAGTGCCGAAGTTCGACTTATCACATCACCTTTTGCTCTCGGACATTGGAGTTGTCGTGGATACTATTTTAAGTATATTTTTTAAAAATTGTGGGTCAGCGTGTGCTGCTTGGGATATGCTAGGCCTTGTTGCATCAAGCTTCTTTGCCCTCTCTTTGGTTGATAGAATTAGCAGGTCAGTGAGTTGGGCCCTTACGTGCTTTAACCCATGATAGGATCCACAAAAGACACGCTAATGCCCAGGATTTATGGGCTGGCCTGCTAAATTTAGCAGGCCAGACTTCCGTGCTTGTTTCGGAATTCTTGTCTTCCCAATCGTTTGGTTTGCATATAAAGTGCTTTAACGAGCCCGTTTTGGAGTGCTATTGGAAGAGCTAAAAGCCTTTTCAACAACGATTGATATAAAAGTTTAGAAGCGCTTATGGACTATAAAAGCGCTTTCTGGAGAAGCAATTTGATTTCACAAGAAAATTTCAACATCTTTATAATAAAAGGGTTTTTACTAAAAGCGTTTATGAGCAGAGGTGCTTCCTAAAAAAATAGTCTTAAACGAGATCAAAGTGTCGAAACCCTAATTAAAGTGACATTTTGTATGTTGCGCATGTTATGCACTGAGCCGGCCATATTCCTTTCTCCAATAATTTCTTCAAGAAACTGTCACTAAACCGGCCAAATCTAGAAAGTTAAACTCAGAGAAGCCACGTAATGGTTGTTTTGCCCAGAGGCTCACAGGAAAAGAAAAGGCAAACTAACCCGTGAATATCATATACAACAAAGGATTGCACACAATAAAGTGAAGCAAACAAAACTTGATGCAAAAAGGTTGATTGGATGTCATGTCGTTCTTGCCTCCATTCTTGGCTTCCTCTATTTGGACTTGGAGAATATTCTTTACATCATCTCCCACCTCTAAATCCCTCAATAATTTCTGAATTCTGTGTAAAATCCAATCCAAATCAAATCATGTAGGCATTGCCCCATGTGGAGAATCTTGATCTTGTCATGCTTGCTCATCTTTTTTTGGGATTCTTCATCAACTCGTACCTGATTTTCTTGTCCGTCCAATTACATTCAGTTTAAAAGGTTCATAGATCAGTGCACATCAAGCTGGATGTTGCATGTTCAATCCAGTCCAGTTGAAATTGGATTAAAACTAATGACTTAAAACAGAAATTTGATAACATACATTGATAGAACTCCGTTCGACCTTAACCCAAATGTACAGAGAGAAGTATCTTTATTACTCAACAAACACAATACAATTCAACATCTCAACTAATACTAACCTACATCCTAATATAGTCAATTAATTGGTAATGCAAAAGACTGAAACACCCTTGGTATCCTGTCATTCATAATCCAGGTGAAACTTATCAGCTTAGGGCCACAATGGTATTATAAAAAAGAAATTGAAAACCCTACCTAAACAATCGCTGACTCATCAGCAATCCATAAAAGAAATGCTTAAGCTTTACATGACTGTAATTCCACATTCCTATATAGTACTATTTCTTGTATTTAATACATAACCAAGAATAGAACTAAAAGAACCAAAGGGCATAATGCCTAAACTATGGTGCTTTTTGTCCACAATCACATTCTTTCAACTATGCACTTTCACCTTCTCCAGGCTTGAGCTGGTGCCAACACCACCATTGCCAATTCTGCCCCTTCCCTCATATGCCCAGCTGAAATGGCAACAAAGGGAGCTCATCATGTTCCTCCATTTTGGAGTGAACACATTTACTGACTCTGAGTGGGGCACAGGCCATGAAAACCCAGCAATCTTCAATCCAGTTGGGCTCAATGCAAACCAATGGCTGAGCACAGCAGCAGATGCAGGCATATCATTAGTCATACTTACCGCAAAACACCATGATGGTTTTTGCTTGTGGCCTTCTAAGTACACTGACCACTCTGTGGAAAGAAGTCCATGGAAAAATGGTCATGGGGATGTTGTGCAGGAGCTTGTCAATGCAGCCAAGCCCCTTGGGGTTGATGTTGGGCTCTATCTCTCACCTTGGGACAGGCATGATCAGAGATATGGGCATGAGATTGCATACAACCAATACTACTTAGCTCAATTGCAAGAGCTACTCAACAGGTAAGAGCCAGAGACAATCAAAAGTTAATGCCAAAGTAATTAACTTTAGTAATTAAAGTTGAGAGTGTTTATTGATAATTTTCTTTTTCTTGATAGATATGGTAGTGTGAGAGAAATTTGGTTTGATGGAAGTAAGGGTAAGAATGCACCAAACATGTCCTATTATTTTACAGATTGGTTCTCCATGGTGAAGGAGTTGCAGAGCTCCATTAACATATTTTCTGATGAGGGTCCGGATGTTAGATGGGTTGGAAATGAGAAAGGCTTTGCTAGGAGTACATGTTGGTCCACCATTAACCGGACCTCTCTATCAATCGGAAATGCAAGCATTGAAGAGTAAGTACCATTTTCATTTTTTCTGTGCCTCAGGTGGAATCTGCTATATCTGGTTTGTACTGTGTGCAAGCCAAACTTCAGTTCTTGTTTTTCTAGTTCAAGCAAGTTCATTTTTCTTCTCTTTGTTAATCAAATTCAAGGTACTTTTTCTGTATATAATTAATTAAACCATGCTAATTTTCCGTCATTTTGGTAATGATTAATTGACAGCTGTGGCTGATTTAGCTTAACATGTGCAACATGAGCACTAGTCGATGACTTGATGTTAATGTTGGAAAATGACATCTTAACCACCATCTAATCGATATCATGTAATTGAATGCAGTTATCTCAACAATGGCGATCCAAAAGGGACAGATTGGTTGCCGGCAGAGTGCGACGTTTCGATCAGACAAGGATGGTTTTGGCATAAATCACAAACACCTAAGAGGCTAAGCCAGCTACTTGAAATTTACTACAACTCAGTGGGACGAAATTGTGTGCTGCTACTCAATGTGCCTCCTAACTCAACCGGGCTTATATCAGAAGTAGATGTTCAAAGACTGAGAGAATTTAGAAGGGCAATTGATAAAATATTTTCTACCAATTTAGCAGAGAAGTGTTCTGTCAAAGTTAGTAGCCAAAGAGGAGGCAAAGGAGGAGGCTTTGGACCTGAAAATGTGCTAGACAGTGACCATTTGTGGACGTACTGGGCTCCAAGGGATGATGACAAAGAGGGCCATTGGATTGAAATCAGAGGTACAGGCACAGACGGAGGGCTGAGATTCAATGTGATTAGGATTCAAGAGGCAATTGGGCTTGGTCAGAGGATCAAAAGGCATGACATTTATGTGGATGGTAAGAGAGTAGCAAATGGAACCACAGTGGGGTACAAGAGGCTTCACAGACTTGAAGAGGGAGTGATCCATGGAAAAATTGTAAAAATTAGAATTGAAGAATCAAAGGGATTGCCTTTAATTTCTTCCATTGGTCTGCATTTTGATCCCTTTTGGCACCCAAATCCAAATGGGCAGCGACCTCAATAAAAAAGGATGAAATAAAATAAAGAGAGCACTGATCTCGTGTTCTATTAATATTTTTGTTAAAGCATTTTTTTTATGCCCGTGCTCTGCTTTTTCTGTTTGAAATACCTTTTTTTCTATCCCCGAAAAAAGACAATGACAATAAAAACAGCACTGATTTATCTCTCTTTGCCCGTGCCCTGCTCTGTTTGAAATACCTCGTTTTCTGCTCTACAAGACAGACAAAAACTGAAGCACTTTTTGCAACACTAAAAGAAACCCACTTCGGAAATGGAAAGTGAAAAACTATGGTAGGGCTGTGCAGATCCAAATCAATCTGCTAAAACCAACCAATTCAATTCAATCCAATCTCATTTTCATTGGTTTTGACAACATTGGTGGATTGAATTGGATCAGAAAAAATAGAAATTCAATTAGATCAGTTCGAATGGCGAATCAAAAATTGAAAATCCAATCTAAACTGAACCAATCCAATATACACATTAATATACATTCAATATCTAAACCAATCTAAATTTTGAAAAAATTAAAACAACATATTAAATATATTTTTATATTTTTATATTAAAAATTAATATATTAATGTCATATCTTTGATCATATTGAAATTTGTATTACATGTAATGAAAGATTATGAAGTTTTTTTGTGATGATTATTTTTTCATACAAACCGATCATCCAATTCAATGTATATTGGATCGAATTAGATTGGATCTTGACATCCGACCATATTGGATTGGATTGTAAAATTTGTAATTCAATGAAAGATTGGATTGGATTGGATTAGTTAAAAACCATTGGTTTCGAACCGATGCTCACCCCTAAATCATAGCTTGGTCATGAAGTCATGTAAAAAATGAAAAGCTGCATGAAGATATTGCATTTTGTCAAGTGCTTCTTCAATAAACCCTTGAATTGTTTTTCAGATTTGTTGCTCCTTTAACTTACTGTGCAATATTTTCTTGTATATAAAGATGCTTGCATTGCACTCCCATAAAATCTCTTCATTATGCTTCAATGGTCATGTCACTCAAGTTGATGTTCTTGCATCTGCTGTTTCTATGTTGTACAAGAGAATGAGCTCTGATTTCCTGGCCTTTAATAATAATAATAATTTGTTCATGCCCAGCTGCCAATGCTATGTGTTTTTCTGTTTACTCTGTTTTCTGTTCTAGAAAGACAATGGCAGACAAACTTAAGGCACTTTTCACAATACAAAGGAAACAAAGTCAATTTCACATTGGAAAGTGAAGCAATGGACCATGGTTGGTGGTGAGTGTTCAGTGGGACGTATAATCTTAACAACTATGGAAAGAAGCAATCACATAAAGCAAAAGATTTTAATATCTTAAGGCCCAAGGCAGAAAACAAAGATTGTATTCCAGCCCCGGTTGGCCCAAGGCCACCCAACCCAAAATAGAGACATGGGCTTCTCTATTCAACACACGTGTACGGCTTGTGGATCACAAGATTGGGCCCAAGGCACGCAAACGGTGATCCTCCAAGCATGAAGCTTAGTAGAGTAGAATTTTATAATGAGGGCCTTAAGGTCTTTAGATGCGGCCTTATCATTAACAAAAAATAAAATAAAAATTAAGGCCTTATTTATTAATCATTGGATCAAATTGGTTAGCCATTGTTCGACCAAAATTGGTTAGTCGTTGGATCACATTGGTTAGTTTGATTCAACGGTTAAGAGATATGGCCTCATCTAAAGGCCTTATCACTATAAAACAAACCCTAAGCTAAGGTACGATTGGGAGTGAATGACACTCGGTCTTCCGAATTTTCAAGTTGTTGTTGCTAGACCTTACTTGTGGCGAGCTGTTAATAAGATGCAGGGATCGTTAAGCAAATAAAATAACTCTCAATCAAGGGTGAAAATGAAGCGTATAAAATCACTAGGATGGAAGAGAAGAAATAAATATATCATTGATTGACAACATAAGAGAATATAATTATTTTTATTGAAGACCAATTATTCATAGTATACTATAGTGATAAGGTTGTGAAGCAATGGTCCAATGGAAAACAATAAGGATTACAATAGAACGCTGCTTCTTTTAGTGCGATCATTAAGAGCAATAGTGGAAGTTACTTAAGGGCTTGCATTCGCAAATCTTGGAGAGGCTTGCACGTAAAGGCCCCCATCAATATGGTGGGTAAACTTGGTCCTGTAGTTGGCCACTTTGTTCTCATCCCTAAGCTTCAATATGTAGCTGCCTAGAAGCACAGCAGAGAAGATCATCATCTGCCTATAAGCAAACTCCTTCCCCACACAAATCCTTGGACCCGCCTGTGTAAACCATAAATCAAATTTCTTCAGAATTACAATGATTTCGGTGTTCTGTTTGCTCCATCAAATCAAAAAAATAAAAATAAAAATAGTGTAGTATGTGTCAGTAACATTTTTCCCTTACACTGAAGGCGATGAGTTTGAAAGAGCTTTCTTGCTGGACAAGGCCATTTTCGTCGAGCCATCTCTCTGGCTGAAATTCTTCTGCATCATCACCCCATATATATTTCATCCTGCCCATGCTATAAGCGTGGTATCCCACAATATCCCCTTTTTTGACACTAAATCCATCTGGCCAAGTATCATCAGATGAACAAACCTTCGCATTCTATGACACCATCACATCACACAAACTTAATTTGTTCATTAATAAGTAATAATAAATAAAGGATCCAAATTCAAAAAATTAAGCCAGCTCTTGCAATTAAAATTGCATTCAGATGCTTAAAATTACCAATGGAACTGCAGGGTAGAGCCTGCTTGTCTCAGTCAAAGCTGCAACCAGATATTGCATTTTGCTAAGGGTTTCTTCAGTAAGGTTGTCTGCAAGCTCAGCAATGCTTGAATTATATTTCACATTTGTTGCTTCTCTAACTTCCTGTGCAATCTTTTCTTGTATATCAGGATGCTTGCAGACCATATAAATAAACCATGTAAGAGTGCTAGCCGCTGTGTCTTTTCCGGCAACAAACAGACTGAAGATAATGTCTCTGAGGTACTTTGGATCAGTCTGTCCTGATTCCAAAAGCCTCGAAAGAATGTCTCTTCTCTTCAACTGCCAGTGCCACTCATTCAGTTGCATTAATAATAATAATAATAATTAGTAATTCAATTAATATAGAACAAAACAGATATGGACTGGAAGCCAAAAGATAACTCACATGTAGATCATCTCCTGAATTTGCAACTGTTTCAGTCTTGCTTTTGATTAAGTTATAAACAAACTCATCTGCCACTTTTAAACTCTTCCTTAGCATGGCTTCTGATCCAATGTTTAACAACTTTTTAATCTTCCAGGAGAAATCAACGCAACGATACAAGGTCATCTCATTTACTACATCAAAAGCATTGGAAAACCGGATAGCTTCTTTATTTGTCCCATACATGGTGTCTACTTCGATACCAAGGAGAACCTTGACGATTGAATCTAAGGCTGCTTTCATAAACAAATCCTTCCCAAAAACAAACAAAACATCAAGATTAAAATATCTGCAAAAGAGATCAAATAACAATGCTATATATGTTATTATTGAAGAATTGAGGCAAGCTTACTTGGATCTCTATCGCTTGGCCGGAGGTTGCAGCTTCAGAAATTATCCGAGCAAGTTTCACACCATTGGTTTTGAAAACTGCACCGCTGAAGTCTCTCACTGATTTGGTTAATGTTGGAAAATTTAATATTAACTAAAATTGATTTTCCTATTTGAATGGAAATTAATAAAATCCATTGGGTTAAAGACATGACCCTTGGGTTAAAGACACCTTCACATGGGGAGTAACAACTCTTCAAACTAAGGGATGCATTGTTTGGGGTGACAACTCTTCAAGACCAAGGGATGTATTGTTTGCCTTTTCAGATTGGGATACCTTTTTGGAAAGGGTATTTCATCATCTATAAATAGACCAATCCTCCTGCAGTTTTAATCATTCAATCAATTCTCTACATACAGACTTTCACATATAGAAAGCATTAGAGTTTTCATAAAGAGAGGTTCCTGCATAATTTGGTTCAAAGTTCCTTGTGAATTGTAGTGCTTCTTTTACAAGGAGGGGAGTCGTTGTATCCTGGGAGGCGAACGCTAGTGAACCATAAGCACCAGTGTGGGGCGTAATTCGTCTTAAGGTCAGAGTGTCCAACACTTGCCTCGACTCAATTAAGGTTCTTCTAATTCAATTCTCTTTTTGTAAAAATCTGTTTTATGTGCATTATTTATTTTGTTTATTTTATAGCAATTTAGCACTCATTTTTCCAACAATCTTAAGACGAATTAAAATGGTGTAGTTGCTATATTTTAAGTGTAACATAAACTTAGTTTTTACTTAAACTCGTGGGAACAATTGCTGGATGTTATGCGAAATGATGTATATTCAGTATACATAATAGCACAATTGATATAACTTTCAGATTGACTTTGAGGATGAGGGCACGTGGTCCCATCTCGTTGAACAAGTTAACTATTTTGTTAATCGTTGGGGTTTGTTTGAATAATTGAGACTCGTTTCCCATATATTTAAATTGTAAGTATCGTGGGACTGTTATCCATATTATTGCATGACATCATTCTACCTTGAGTATTTCAGATTTCATTTTAGAAATTCTAACTGCACATGCATGTACAACACTTGATCAGCATAAGATCACTTTGAGAATTTCAGTTTTTCTCAAAGAAATTTCTATGCACTTCCCGTGATGAGTAATTCATTGCTTGCTACCTTCCTTTGATGTACCCATTTTTCGCCATCCACGGCGAAGATCCCATCACCCAGACAATCTGACATAATGGTGTAGAGGTACAACCCCTGCAGCAGGTCAGGATTTGAAATCTTTGGCATGTTGATTTGCTTCTATAGAAACGTAACAATATATTTCACTAGTTTTAGTATATAAAATATATCTTAGATATAGAGGATAAGGTAGGAAATATGCATGTCCTGGGCTAGTAGTTACTGAAGAACGGTTGATAGATACTCTAATTAAAGTATCCCCCCAAGTAGTTGACCTCTCTTCAAATGCGTGACGAAAGCATAAAAAGATAATAATAATAATAATAATTAGAAATTTTCTAATAGCATGAACTTATCCCCAAAGTCTGATATAGATATAGACACATACCCTGCCATAGTTTGCAAAGTTGGTTTTGAGGAAGTATTCCACATTTGCAGGATCTGTGGTGAAAACATAATTTTGGAACAAGTTAGGCACCCGATAAGTTTTGTTTTTGAATGCTAACTCAGTCATGTAATCGTGTAGCCTAGAGAAGTTGATCAAGCAGCTTAAGACGGTTGCGCCTACAGGATGGTATCTCTTTTTGTTCTCAGTACCCAATCTTCTAGTATGGGATCTGATCACAAGTAGAGCTAAAATTACTGTCAAACTTATTGCTATGGGAGTGGAAAGGAAATCCATGACAGAACTCATGGCTGGGACTGATGAAAAAGAGAAACCTTATATCATCATATATACACACTCACGAGGCAGAATTCATGGCCCTGCCGACCACAATCAGATATTCATAATGAAAGGCCTTTGGCTCAACCACTTGGACAAACCCTGTTACAATGGGAATTCCAAATAGAAACGTTTTTCTTTATGACGATCGTCAATTTCTGCTCTGACACGACCTTACAGTTACTGACATAGTGGTTCATAATCTTTATGATTCGAAATATGTCGGTAGCGTAGCTGTAAGAACCCAAAACGAGAAGTGGCAGAGAAGAATAGGAGATATAGTGGCTGGTTCTTGCATTCTTCGAGCCAGAGCCAGTGTAAATATGTAAGATTGTTTTCCTAAGACTTGCATTTGCGATTTACATATACAACTTTTTGAAGGAAACCCATGTTTAAAATCTTAACCAACATTAAAAGCAGCAAGCACAGAAAGCAAAATAATAGTTTCTTTTTTCTTTGCAGATATGTGTTCTTGATAAATTAGCAACAATTAATTTATTCGATATTTATTTTTGCAGTTTAGCTGTCCAGGCACGACCATACGAACTGGGCCATGCCCATCGAAGCTGTTTATTTGTAGCGTGAACAGCTTCCCTCTCAGCATTTTACTCTGCAGCAGCTCAGCTTCAGTGACTGAGAATCGGTCGGCTACTCCAGCCGTCAGCTGTATCGGCAGCATGGGGCTCTCTGCAGAGATTGCTTCTTTGCTGCTTTGGCGGTATTGCAACTAGGGGTGTATAAGATCCAATTCAATCCGTTTAAATCGGCTGACAGTCCAATTCAATTTCAATCAGTTTTGACGATTTGGCAGATTTGATTGGATACGCTGACCAACATTAAAAGCAGCAAGCACAGAAAGCAAAATAATAGTTTCTTTTTTCTTTGCAGATATGTGTAATGTGTTCTTGATAAATTAGCAACAATTAATTTCTTCGATATTTATTCTTGCAGTTCAGCTGTCCAGGCACGACAATAGGAACATCTAGTCCAATCCAATTTCAATTAGTTTTGATGATTTGGCGGATTTGATTAAAAAGTTATGAATATTTTAAGTCATTTAATGAAGTTATGTTTAATATATTATATAATCAAAATAATAATAATAATTATTATAGTATTCTATTTATATCTTACATTTACGTATATTAATATGTTTAATTATATTAAACCAAGGATAAATGTTTAAAATTTTATTACTTTATTTTTCCATTATCAAAACTGATTATCCAATCCAATTTATATTGAATCGGATGTGGATGGACTAAATTGTATTGGTTTTGAACTAACATACACTCCAAATTGCAACTGCAGTTGGGCCAAGGCCACCCAACCCAACCCAAAATAATGACATGGGCTTCTCTATTCAACACATGTGGTCTATGTAGGTCTCATGGATCACAGATTGGGCCCAATGGAAGCGAACAGTGATCCTCCTATAGAAACCTAAACCCTAGTACTGTTGGGATTGAAAGAATGACACTCGCTCTTCCGAATTTTTAAGGGTCTATGTCATCAGATCCTATCTTTAACTGAACTGTTACCAATTAACGGTGTAAATGAGTTGGGTATTCCAACTAACTCTTAACTTAGTAGTGCTTATATTTTCAATGTTAAAAAAGATCCAAGTTTAAATCTTTCCTCCCCATTAATTTAAAAAGAAGAAAAAAAGGGAGCAGGTTATTAGCACATCTTACTCTTTTGTTATTACAAGGACAAAATTATATACACATCCAAGCAATTCAAAGAACGCACACATGACTTGCAGACCTATGGTCTCAAGTTCGAACTCTTATGGTACCTTAACAATGTGTGTGTAAGAAAATCCCCCTTCTCCAATATCGCTTGTGTGTGTGTATATATATATAATATAAAAAAAGGCTCACATAGTTACATGGGTGGTCCGAAGCTAAATGACTACAATTTAACTCATCCAATTTGGTCAGGGCAGAACCAAGAATTTTTTAAAGGGTGGGCTAGCTAAAGTTATTAGCTTAAAATCTAATAATAATTTTTTTGTACTTACATTTATGTACTCTTTCTAGAAATAGAATATACATTAAATTATAGGGAGACTTTAGAAAAACACAAAGGAGAGAGAAATTTTGTAAAATAAGCAAAATAGACAAAATTACCCTTATTTATTTTTAGATTTCCTAAGGAATCCTTTACATTTGCATGTCTTTGATTTGAAAGTTGAGAGGTTTTTCTGTCTTTTTTTAAAAAGTTTTGGCTTTTTCCAAAAGTGAAATTTTTTTTTTGGCTAAAACCTAAATTTACTTAAATTATATAAACCATGTTAATTCATAGCTCTATTGACTAATTTTTAATAAGCTTTAAATACATATTACATGCAACCGAAAAACACATATTATCGAAATGAAAATATGTTCAACAACATAATTGAAAGTGAACTTATTTTATTTTTATTGCTACCCTGCAACTAAATTCATAAAGAATTAAACTCTTTTTGAACTTTAATTTGTTATTACATTTTGGACTATATTTAATATATAGGTTTTTTTAAAACACCAAAAGAGCTCCCTGGGCTACAACCCACTATAGCCTATAGGGTAGTTCCGCCCATGCAATTAGGCTACTGAAAACCCTAGCCTCTTCTCTCAAAAAACACTATAGAGTTGTTTTCACTTTGAGGGGGGGAAGAAGCCACTGTTCTTGCTCTCCCCTCTCCCTTCCTCTCTTCCCCTATTTTCAAAGACATAATGTTTCCCCTATTTCTTTTTGTTTTGTTATGATTTTCCTCTACTCATCACAAACGGATGCGTCTCACCGTCGAATCTCCACTAGCGTTTTAGTGTCGGATCTCTACCACCATCATTTTTTGGGTTTCTTCATTTTTTTTCAACGATCTAAACTGTCTTTTTTTCAAGGCTTCATTCGTAGATCATCCTTGAAAAAAATTAGAAAATTGAAAATCATTAAGGCATCTAATTGCAAGCAAAAAAATTGACGAACATATTGCTTCAAGAAAAGACTAAAATAAAAATCATCTAATTGAGTGGTCAATTAGTTTCGGATTTAAGTGATTTTTTTGCAGATATGATCTTTGAGGGAATATCTAAAAATTAAGCGATTTGGATCATTGAAAAATAATGTGTAGTGGACCCTACAATGATGTCCTCAATTGAAGCTACCTTTTTTTCCTTTTGTGTGTGTGGTTTCTCCACTATCCCAAAATTCATGTCTTAGGTGACTGCCAACCAACAAGCAAACCAACTAATTGACCGCTATTCAATCATACATTCATAATGCAAGGCTTCCTTTGGCCACCACTTTTGTCCTTGGGAATATCTAAAAATTAAGCAATTCGGATCATTGAAAAATAAGGCTTAATTATGTACATGCCCCCTGTACTTTCAAACTTATCTCAGATTATCACCTGTGTTTGCAAACGTCTCAAAGTACCCCCCAACCTTTTAAAAACCGTCTCACGTTACCCGTTCCGTCAGTTTTTTTGACGTTCTGTTACGAATGTTACTGTTCATCCCCCCAAATTCCAGAACAGCAGCCCCTCCCATTTGTTACTGTTCATAGCTTATTTACCCTCCAAAACTCAGAAATTTCTCATAACCAACACAACTAGCAGCAAGAACAGCTCGAGAGGTTGAAAAACCATACCTGGATCGAAGCAAATGGTGCTCGGAATCGCCCGAACGAGCGATGGAGATTTTGGGTAAAAATCGGCCAATTTCTTGCTTTTTTCCGGCGATCCAGACGACAGTTGGCAGCGGCTGAGATGTGAGGCTGGTAGAGGACAACGTGTTGGTTCTTTTGATACCCATGCGTCACTTAGGGTGGCCGGAGGAGGAGATGGCAGCCCAAAAACTGGTCGGATGAACAATAACAAAGGGGAGGGGCTGTTGTTCTGGGATTTTTTGGGGGGGGGGGGGGGGGGGGGGGGGGACAGATAACCATTTGTAACGGAATGTCAAAAAAACTGACGGAACGGGTAATTGAGAGGGTTTTTAAAAGGTTGGGGGGGTACTTTGAGACGTTTGCAAACGCAGGTGGTAATCTGAGATAAGTTTGAAAGCACAGGGAGCATATACATAATTAAGCCGAAAAATAATGTGTAGTGGGCCCTACAGTGTCCTCAATTGAAGCTATCTTTTTTTCCTTTTGTGTGTGGTTTCTCCACTGTCCCAAAATTAATGTCTTAAGTGACTGCCAACCAACAAGCAAACCAACTAATTGACCGCTATTCAATCATACATTCATAATGCAAGGCCTCCTTTGGCCACCACTTTTGTCCTTGGGAATTCCAAATAGTAACGTTCTTCTTTGTGACGATCTTACAGATAATTTATACGTACTCTGATCACGACCTTACAAA